AAGAACAGCACTAACCAAAAGTTTAGGTCCATTTGGACAGAAACTTTTGATAGTTACTTACTCAGTGACATTTTCTGAGCTCCCACATATTAGTTGCTGAGTGTGATTCAGTTTTATCTTCATAAACGTGTTAAATTTGCACCAAGTTTGGGTGGTAGGCACAGCCCATGGGTGTTTGTATTGCTTAACCCCCACTCTGCTATTTCATTTTAATCTTGACTGAACTTTTTGGCTACTGTGGGCCACCTTATGCTGCTGGGGCTCTTGTTCATTGCAGTTTTGAATCCTCAAAGAAAGCCTTTTGTCTCTCATTGGAAGTGACTTGGAAGCGACTCAATCTTATCTGTGTAGCTCCTCGGTTTCACATCCTGAATATAGGTTTCACATCCTGAATATGGGTTTCACATCCTGAATATGATAGAACTCGTTTGAAGTAAAATTGAACTGCACTTATATTGATGCCTTTGTCAGTTTCTTTCCTCGAATGTATCTGAATGTAATGTTGAAGTGTGATAGAAATAATCTTTTGGGGTTCTAAACTAAGCCTTACTCTTCAGGAAGTGGGTAATGTTTGGATCTAGATTAGTTACACATAAATAACTCTGTACGTAGGACTCACTTCCCCCAAATTCCCCTCTGACCCTTACTACTTGAATCTTCCCTTCCAACTTAATGACTATAGTGATGTGACATAGACATATAGGCTCCTAAGTGACACATTAAGGTGAGAGTATCCTGTTTATATATTTCCAGTGGATTCCTCATCACATGTTGCTGCTATTGCTTAAGACTTTCCCATTTTGTTAGCCTGTCCACAGTTTCAGCAGCAGAGCCCCATTAGGTCTCCAGTAGGTGCTACAGCCACAGTGTGTAGGGTCCACAGCTTTTCAGGGGCCTATAGAAATAGGTGGGCCTGGAAAAAGAAGATGAAAATTCTGTGAGTGCAAAATTATAGAAATCCTTTCAAACAATTAAAAGCCAAAAATATTTAATAGGGAATGAGGGTGCATTTAAATACATTTGACATGGTTTAGAAGTGGGCCCTCCAAAAGTAGGAGTGCCAGTGACCCGTAGGCATTGAGATAGCACCAAATGTACTAGTCAAACTCACAGACTCCTGGCCACCCTCAACATCACTTTTCTCCTCGACAGGAAGAGTGGGTGGGGCCCAGGCATCCTCAGTTTTTAATGAGCCCTCAAGGTGGTGAAAGTTTGAAAACCCTTGGTCAGCCATTGTCTGGTGTATAACACCACAAACCAAACGAAGACAGCAGAGAATGTTAGCAACAGTGATGTGCTGTTCTCTGTGATCGATGAAGCTTATCAATACATGCAAAAATATTTAATTATTATAATTTCCACTTCTTGTTTTCTGTTTGTTCTTCTCAGTTTGTTAAACCCCCATCGTGAATTTTTCATTCGTTGACAATTGGATTTCTGCTTCCATAGCATATTTTTAAATGTGTAGAGCATATTCAGCCTGTTGAAAAACAACCGCCCATTAGGAACTCAATAGCAAACTCACCTGCCTCCCTAGAACTTGCTGGGGACACAGTCAGTACTCCCCTTTGGTGATCCTGCCTTTACAGCCTGTTCTCTTTTTAGCAATCTACCATCAAATTGCATTTTAGAAAGCCACTGCTGTACTCCTATGAAACATTAAAATCCAGTGGCATTGACCAGTCTTTTTCTTTGATTCCTATTGTTCTTTACTCATTACTCTTCTCAATCTTTTGTATTGCTCTGGGCTGGTAGATATATGTACTGTCCTGGTGTACCAACTGCTTTCTTTGTTTTACTGTTTTACTTTTACTGTTTACTTTGTTTTTCTTTTGGTTTTTTTTTTTTGAGACAGAGTCTTACTCTGTCACCCTGAGTAGAGTGCAGTGGCATCATCATAGCTCACTGCAACCTCAAACTCCTAGGCTCAAGTGATTTTCTTGCCTCAGCCTCCCAAGTAGCAGGGACTACAGGCATGTGCCACCATTCCTGGCTAATTTTTCTATATTTGTAGAGATGGAGTCTTGCTCTTGTGCAGGCTGGTCTCAATCTCCTGTGCTCAAGCGATCCTCCAGCCTTGGCCTCCCAGAGTGCTGGGATTGCAGACCTGACCCACCATGCCTGGCCCTTTACTACTGGTTCTATTTCTTATTACTCCCTAACATTCTCTAGGACTTTTCTTTTTTTTTTTTGAAACAGTCTCACTGTGTTGCCCAGGCTAGAGTGCCATGGCATTAGCCTAGCTCACAGCAACCTCAAACTCCTGGGCTTAAGCGATCCTTCAAGCGATCGCTCAAGCAAGATATATATATATATATATATATATATATATACACACACACATATATATATATACATATATATATTAGTTGTCCAGCTTCTTTCTATTTTTTTTTAGTAGAGGTGGGCTCTTGCTCTTGCTCTTTCTCAGCCTGGTCTCAAACTCTTGAGCTCAAAGGATCCACTGGCCTCAGCTTCCCAGAGTGCTAAGATTACAGGCATGCCAGACCTTCTCTAGGACTTTTCTTTAGCTGTAGCTTTTCTTTCTCTAGCTTCTAAGAAATGAGCATTCTGACCTGTTTTAGCTATTATATTAGTGCCTCTTAAATCTCTCTGAGTCCACCTTCTTGGGCGAGCTCCAGTTTCCTTGCCCCAGCTTCCCAATCTTTGCCCTGCTGTTGTACGCAGCTGAAAATGTCTTTCCTTTATTATTATCCTTCTGAGACTGGCTCTGCCTCTCAAGTGTCTTTTCTTTCAGCCAAGCTGCCATTCTCCTAGCTCAGGCGTCCTCAGACTACGGCCCAGTTTGCCATGTGCGGCCCACTGAGCACATTTTTCTGGCCTACTGGATGTTTTTGCCACAGCTGCCTGTCCTTGCTTAGCAGCCAACTAGTCCTGGGCCCACAGTGCGCGTGTGTAGAATGTGCGCCGCACTCTCCAACGGTCTGAGGGACAGTGAACTGGCCCCCTGTTTAAAAAGTTTGAGGACTGCTGTCCTAGCTAGTCATAGCTTGACACCCAAGGGCTTTTTCCCTATCTTTCATTCCTTGAATCCGCCAACATAACCAAATTTGATCACCTTTTCTCTTAAAATATGCCCAGTGAGGATCTCCTCCTTTTCAGTCTGTCTTCCTCTGCTCTAATCCATGCCTTAGGCTCTTAGCTGATTTCCCTGCTTGCCTCTTTCAAAGCCCTTTAGCCATGGCAGAATCATGTGCCCTGTGCAGAGCTACCACTAGCTCTCCCTTGTGAAATTCTTCTGTCTTGCATTTGAGGCTTCTCTGTGCATATTCACCTGTGTAGTGCATTCAGCTTTGTGTGCGCTGCTCTCCCACAGCACAAACCCTGCACATAAGGACAGCTGGTCTGATGCGTCTTCATTTCCCCCACAGCTGTTCCTCTGCTCTTCTTGTTCCTTCTGCCCTCCTCTCATCTTGCACCTCCTTACCCATTCTCTGTGCCCATCTCCTTAACAGGACCTTTCTCATGGTTCTGCCCTACACTTACCTTATCTCCTTGTTGATTTCGAGTACCATGTAGAGTACTAACTTTGCATTTCTTCATATGCTTAGTATCAATCCAAGGCTCCTTATCTCTAATTCTAAAATTCAACAAGTTTGGAAAACTGAAAGGTTTTTAATAATCTTGGCATAAAACTCAGGCAATACCTCTCTAAGTAGATATGTACTGTCTTTTTAAAAATTTATCTCATTAGTGTGACTATTTGTGTGTTCTACAGAAATGCTAATATGTCTGGCCATGGGGACAAGATGGAAAGCTAAGGGACCTCATCAGTTTGTGCTTTGTTAAGCTGCCAGATTCATCTAGTATTGTGCTTCTCAAACTGGAGTCTGTATACCCGAGAGAGTGCAGAGATTGTAGGAAGTTACAGCCTACACATGCATGAGTGCCAGTAGGGCCAAATATATTTGATGATTTGAGGGGGGAAATGAAATATGAAAATATGTATCATGGGATAAAATGCGGATTTTCCATGTACTGAAAAGATAAAAGGGGAGATTTCAACAAAATTCAGGCACCATGGCAGGTGGGGAGAAACTTATCCTTCATTCTCTGCCTCAGCCAGGGGTGCTAAAACACCGCTCTCATTCAGATAATTCTAACAGTTTAGATAGTTACATTTCTAACTGGCTGAACTTAGCATCTTGTAAAGTTCTCTAGGATTCCATAGGATGGCGAAAACTTCTGAGACTATGTTGAAGAAGGAATAACACTAGTACAATCAGTCAGACTGACTCTAATGAGGAAGGGTGATGCCCAAAAATTAAGGTCAGAAGGGGTTGTTTACAAAAATGGCTTGTGTTATAAGGAGACTAAACTTGACAACGTAGGCAGATTATTCAGGATGGTTTTCAAAATTGTGTCTTAAGTGAAATAAGCCAGCCACAAAAACCCCAATATTATGTGATTCCATTTATGTGAGTTATCTAAAGCAGTGGTCCTCAATCTTTTTGGCACTAGAGACCATTTTCATGGAATTCGATTTTTCCATGGACCAGGGAGGGAAGGGGATGGTTTCAGGATGATTCAAGTGTATTGTGTACTTTATTTCTATTGTTATTACATTGTAATATATAATGAAATAATAATACAACTCACCACAGGTTGGGGAGCCCTGATCTAAAGTACTCAAACTCAGAGACAGAAAGGAGAATGGTGGTTGCTGGGGGCTGCTGGAAGAGGAAGTTCTTGTTTAAAGAGTATAGAATTACTGTTTTGCAAGATGAAAAAGTTCTGGGGATCTCTTTTACAACATTGTGAATATACTTAATACTACTGAACCGAACACTTCAAAATGGTCAAGATGGTAAATAATATGTTATCTATTTTTTACCACAATAAAAAAATGTTACGTGTTAAGGTAGCCTATATACTTCTTATTACTTTTGTTTGTTTGACTAAGCTTTATTACAAATGTACTTTTCCCACAAGTTTTGTGTGGGTATGCTATTTTGCTGTGTTGTGTGTTCTGTTTGTAGGCAACAAATAATGGCGGCAGCTACAAGGGATCCTGGGCTCTCCAAATTGCAGTTCGCCCCCTTTAGCAGTGCCTTGGATGTTGGGTTCTGGCATGAGTTGACCCAAAAGAAGTTGAATGAATATCGGCTGGATGAAGCTCCCAAGGACATTAAGGGCTATTACTACAATGGTAGGTGATGGCAAACTCCACCTTCCATCGTCTTCTGTATTCTCTCTGTCCTCCAGTGTAGTGTCAGCTTTCCTTTAGAAAGGGACGCTCTTGTCTTTTATACCCATGCTCTTCAGTAGTTTCTATTTTACTTCCTGACTTTTGACTCAAGTTCCTTTTCCCCTGTTGTGGGGAGAAGAAAGGGAGTAGTGAAACTCAAGTTATTAATCCAAATAATATCGATTATTTAGCATTGCTGGGGGAGGAGATTGGAACTTTTTTTCTGTTGAATTTTTTATATTCTTGGCAAATCACTCATATTCACAAGAGTTCTGTCATATTCTGCCATTATCATTTCTACATATAGATACATAGATAATCAGGAATTGGATGGGGCACTTTGGCCCAACAAAGAGAACAAAACTATTCATAAACATTTTGGTTATGAAAGGTGTTATTTCTGACTTGTAATTAACAACGTGGTAATGTTTCTGTCCAGGTGATTCTGCGGGGCTGCCAGCTCGCTTAACATTGGAGTTCAGTGCTTTTGACATGTGAGTATTTGTTCAAAATCTAAAGTAAAGAATACTGTTTGCTTTTGGTGAGGAATGAGCATTCTCACCTTTATCATAGGCAGATTGCAGGAGGAACTAGGGAAACTCCAGGTAAGCAGTCAACACCTCATAATTCTCTGTACCTCCCGTAGAGACAAGTGCTAGGTGTCTATCTAGTTCATTTTTTCAGCAGTTACATATCAACCTGTCTATCTAGTTCATTTTTTCAGCAGATACATATCAACCTGTTAGGTGCCAAGTACCATCTAGATTGATTGAGACATAGATAACGTTGTCCATGGGCATTGATCAATAAATGTTTATTAGGCTACTTCTGTATACAAACCACTGTGTAAGGCATTAGTGGGCTATATAAAGGAATATGCTAAGTATGTCCTCAATTTTTTTATTTGCTGGGGAGCTATTGGGAGTTGCTAGAGAGAAGAGAGACCTTTATTGAGCACTTAATTAGCTAGGCATTTTCATAAACACAATTCTTTCAGATCTGCCAAGTGTGATTTTTCTCTTTTTCCGATGAGGAAACCACAGGACAAAAGGTAAAAATGGCTTGCCCAAGGTCCCACCTAGCTAAATTTAGAAAGCAAGGGTGAGAAAAAAATAAAAACATAATCGGAAATATATTTCTGAAATCCAGCTAGGGAGATTTTACTATGTTTACAGAAATAGAGAAACTAGGAGGTGGATACAGTTTTAGGAGTTTGGTTTAGAACATATTGATTTTGAGATGACAGTGCCCACAGAAATGTCCAAGAGGAACTGGAGTCAGGAAAGAGGGTCAGACTAGATTTGGGAGACGTTCATGGAGAGAGGATCATGAGGCTGTACAAGAGAAAGACAATACAGATGGTCCCTGACTTATGGTGGTTCAACTTAAGATTTTTCAACTTTACGATGGTGTAAAAGAGGTATACATTCAATAGAAACTGTACTTCAAGTACCTATACAACTACTCTGTTTTTTACTTCTATTACAGTGTTCAATAAATTACATAAGATATTCAACACTTTATTATAAAATAGGCTTTGTGTTAGATGCTTTTGCCTAGCTGTAGGCTAATGTAAGTGTTCTGAACACATGTAAGGTAGGCTAGTCTAAGCTATGATGCCTGGTAGGTTAGGCATATTAAATGCATTTTTTACTTACGGAATTTCATCTTATGAGGGGTATATCAGGATGTAACCTCGTTGTAAGTGGAGGAGTATCTGTGTAGTGTAAGAAAAACAAAAGACCCAAACAGTGAATGGCTCTGATTAGGGAGGGCAAAGAGGATGCAGAACTAGCAAAGGACACAGGGTTGTCAGAGAAGAACCAGAAAAGTATTATAGAAACCAAAGAAGGAAATGGATTTCAGAAGGAAAGAGAAGGTCAATAGTGTCAGAAGCACAAAGGTCAGATTCAATGCAGTGGTCTTTGGGTTTGTTGATTAAGTCACTTATGGTCCTTAAGAATTAAATTTCTCAAACTGAATTCTACACAGCAGGGTGGAGCCAAAACCATGGTAAGGGGCTTTACGATTATTAAAGGTTAAATAATTAAAGGCTACAATGAGGTCCACTTTTTCTGCTTTCTTATACATCAGCAGTGTCAAGATAAGGGATTTTTGGAAGGCGAAGAGGTCTTGTAAGGTCTACCTGGCTTTTGAAAATGACAGTAGTCAAAGGATACGGTACTTAAAATAATGTGTCCCTAGAATTGTTTTTTGTTTAAATCTCAAAAAATCAATAAATTTGGTTCCTTTATCTTAATCAAATTGCAAAATTTAAAAGGATTACATAAATACAAAATGGTGTTAGTCTTGTATCTTTAAAAATGAATGTATTGATGTTTCTTGTTTCCTTTATAGCTTTCTTGCTCCATCATAAATTCTTTGTGATTACTTGTCAAAACAAATTAAATACTAGTAATCTCACCCTTGTTTTTCCGAAACTAACTTATTTGGGAGTGATTGCAATATAATGAGGAAAATACTGGAAATGTAAAAGCATTAAATTGTCTGAAGATGGTAAAGGGGAAATATTGGCAGTATGGTTTTATATAATCTAGATTATATAAAATCTAATATTCATCTCAACAAGCTTCACTCCTATTCTTATCCTGATAATATACTGAAGTTTTTGGCCGGGCGCTGTGGCTCACGCCTGTAATCCTAGCTCTTGGGAGGCCGAGGCGGGCGGATTGCTCAAGGTCAGGAGTTCAAAACCAGCCTGAGCAAGAGCGAGACCCCGTCTCTACTATAAATAGAAAGAAATTAATTGGCCAACTAATATATATAGAAAAAATTAGCCGGGCATGGTGGCGCATGCCTGTAGTCCTAGCTACTCGGGAGGCTGAGGCAGCAGGATTGCTTGAGCCCAGGAGTTTGAGGTTGCTGTGAGCTAGGCTGATGCCATGGCACTCGCTCTAGCCTGGGCAACAACGTGAGACTCTGTCTCAAAAAAAAAAAAGTTTAAAGACCTGGGATTTATGGCTCATTAACTATGCTACCTTGTTAACACCTTTTGGTTTTCTCAGTTTTTGTTTCCTCATCTCTAAAAGGGGCTCTTGGTTCCTATTGTTCCTTCCAGTTTTAAATGTCTGTGATTTTCTAAGTCCCTCTTTGTAAGGATGGCTGGGAAGTTGAATGAAAACTCTTGAGGCCCCTCAGAAGGCATGAGTTCCTTATACCAAATTATTTTCATTATTATTGCTCTACCTTTGTTTTTATTGCCATATATATGTGTGGGTTTGTAGGGAAAATTGTGAATTTATTCATCAAAGAGTGAATGTCTACAAGGTGCAGGGTATGTAGGTGTTAGGAGTACAAAGACTTATGAAACTTGTCCTCCAGAACTCCACTGTGGTATGACAGAGAAGCAGAAGACAAATATTTGCATTCTAGTGTGCCCAGTCCTGTCATAAATGTGGAGAATTATTTTAAGAATATTTATTGATTGTTTCCTCTGTGTCTTGACAATAGAACGTCCCTGTCACTGGGCACACAGAGAGGAATAAGGTAGAGTTGAAAAGCTAACAGTCCTGGGACTCACTCATGGATGCCAAGAGCATCTCAGCCTTGTGTAGCACCAGATAAATCTTTTACTATGAATCCCTGGAAATCTTAAGGGTCTCTGCCAGCAGTTAGCAACATGAGGATCCTATTCTCTAAATTGTGTCAGGCGAATTGCCAGTCAAGTTGTATTTTATCAGGTACTAACTAACTTGAACTGAAGGTTGCTATTTTATAGTAGGGTGACTGCTGAACCATACCCAAAAATGTAAGAGCCCAAACACAAAGGAATTTTATTTTTTGCTCATTTAATATTCCAGGGCTGGCAGTCCAGTCTTCTTCCATCTTGCAGTTCCTTCATCCCTGAGGGCTTTGCCTTTGTGTGCTGGTTAAAACTGAATTGTCACTTTGAGGTAGCGAGAGATTAATGGGGAAAGAGAGCCAGGATGAAAACAGGTGGAAAACACACACTCCATCTCTTAAAGGCCCTGGCTGGGAAGGGGCATGCATCGCTCTACTCAGATTCCCTTGGGGAGAGCCCGTGGCCGTATGTGTCTTACAAGAAGGACTGGGAAATGTGATGTACAGCTGCAAGTATCATGGATGTTTTCTATTTCTGTTGTAGAAGAGGAAGACAGATTTTGGTTGACAATCTCTGTACCAATGTGAAACTGGTGAAAAAGAGTTTTCCTTTTCCTGGACCTCAAATGACAAACATTTGAATGAGGAACATTTCTGTGGGCCTCTTTCCCTTGAGGAACATTTGTCTTTATTTTTAAGTACTACTTTGCTAAGCCTCAAGTTGGACTTAGAGAAATAAAAGGCATAATCCTTGCCCTCAAAGAACTTAAAAAGTAGCTAAGGCAGTAGGATTTGTATGCTGGATCAGCCACACAGGGCAGTGGCTGTGTCTGTCTCTTTCCCACTATATTGCCAGCAGCCAATACAGATTCAGGATGTGCTAGTTGCTCAAAGAACTGTTGAGTTGATTATAAGCTAAGTGAATCCGTCAAAATGGGATGTGGTATTGTTGATAGAAAGATGCCAGTGGACTCTGTTAGAGGATGTTATAAGCAGAAACTCAGCGGTTGTTACTGAAAGGGGCAGGTAACAACACAGCATATCTCCACTCCTCATCATGGCTTCCTAGGTTCCCGAAGTCCCAGGTGTGCCTGTGGAGTGAAGATTCCTCCAGGTGTGAAGAGTGACCCCTGCTCTTCTTCCAGAGGATTTATTCCATTCTGGCCACCTGCCTGCCCATTGGCCACGTGTGAATAAATTGGTGCAAAACAGCCCAAGTACATTCCTGAGTAGTCACTGTGAAACTGCGGGGAAGTGAAGGCCAAGTGTTTAGATTGAATGTCCCCAAGCAGGCCCAGGCTTCAGGCCTTTGTGAGACCCTTTTTTTTTTTTTTACCAGTTTTAGTGTATACATCATTGAGAGTTCACTGCTGACTTTAGTATGTGAGGGAAGATTTCTAAGTCAGATTCCTTTTAACAGCTATATTGAGATATAATTCACATACTGCAAAATGTACTCTTTTAAAATGTACAATTCAGTGATTTTTAGTAGATTTATAGAGTTGCACAACCATCACTACTACCTAATTCCAGAATATTTTTATCACCCCCAAAAGAAACCATTAGCAATCATTCTCCATCCCCCCTCCTCCCTACCCTCCCACCCTAGGCAACCAGTAATCTACTTTCTGTCTCTGAGGATTTGCCTATTCTGGACATTTCATATAAACAGGTTCATAGGAAACAACTAATAAGTGTCAGGACCAGGATTTGAACTAAATTTTCTTGTTTCCAAGTCTTGGGCTCTTTTCTTCTCATTATCACTTTGTTTATTCATTTCCCTGGCCACTTCCCTGGTGGAAGTTTAGTCATGAAAAATATTTCTCCTTGAAAACTTCAGATTGTCCTCACTAAGTAACTTACATAAGTGCTGGTGCTCCTATGAGCCTAGCCATCTTGGCAGTTGCTTGAGTTCTTGGAATGTAGTTTCCTCCCTTCTCAGTGAGGCTTTGGCATGGCTCTCATACCTGGGACGTTTAGACATTAAGGAGGAAGGTCCCCTTCCTCCTCTGTGCTTGTGTCCAAATTAGATTACAGCATCCTTCCTTCTGTTTTGGCATTGTGTTTCAGCAGTAATTTCATAAAGTCAAGTCTGAATGTAGAAGGCCTAGTTTACCAACTGCTCTGCTTCCTTTTCCTTCCTCTAGGCTCAATCTTGCCCCCTTGTGATTTTCTCCTTAAGACCATCTTTGATGTCCCCATCTCACTTGGATGAAAAATATTCTTTTATTGGAAGAATGTGTTGACAAACAACTTGTGATTTGCTGACTCACAGCTCCTGAGAGAAGGCTCTAGCCATTGAAAGTTAGCAGTCCCCCAGGACTTGGCACTGGAGCCTTACAGATGTCATTTGACAGAGCCATCGTCACTCATTTTCCAGTTCACACCTGTTCTAGGGTTATATCTCTTCTCCTTCAGGCCTCCTGAACCCAATTTTGCACAGACTTGGAGTGAAAAAATACTGGGTCTTCTAAATTGTACAGCTACCATCAATCAGTACAATCAGTAAAAATACATTCTCTCTGCTGTAGTTGTAAGTGATAACAATATTAGGCTACTAATGAAATGGATACTTTCATTTAGCTTCTGTAACCTATGAAATACAAGTTAATCATTTCAGAGAAAAGACCAGATTTGTCTACATCTAAATTTGTATTCAGAATCAACTGCTCTTCTCTTCTCTTCTCTTAGCTTGGATTGCTCTGAGGACCTGTAGGTCTTTGGGGGCAATGTAAAGTGTGTAAACCATGTGGCATGATAGATTGACAGGTAGCCCAGGTGTCATACATTTTGTCTGTGTGACTCAGACAACCACCAGGGGTTTGCTCAGCAGAGTTCTGTGCCATCCCTGTCTGGGGGTGGGTTAGGCTGTGGGACAGTGAGGAGAAGACATGCTCCCTGCCCTCAAGGGCCTTCCTGTTCTCCAGTTGGGTAGGCATGACTATTCTTGAAAATGCTCTAAAATATTATGGTCAGTTTTATGTGCCAGCTCTTATAAGAGAAAATGGGAGATGGCTTCCTGGAAGAGAGGAGATTGGAGAGACCCCTGAAGCCCACAGGGTTCTGAGTCAATGGTGGTGGTACCTTAGAGAAAACTAGTTCTGGTTTCACATTTGAGCTCTTCCTATCATTATGTTCCTTAAACGTTTAAATGAGGGAAAGAGCTGTTTTGAGCATTCAAACCTTTATTTATTGAGTTCCTGGCTCAATAAATTATGTTTCTCTCTTAGATTGAAGATAAGAAAGAGTATAAAATGGGAAATGAACTGCTATTTGGGGGGGGGGCAATAGAATAACATACCAAGAGGTTAGGGTAAAGGGAAGATATAGGCTTTTTAGGGGGAATGGTGCTTGTTTTTTAGTCCTTGAGCAATGATATTTGTCTTTTTCCAAAGAAATATCAATCTTTTATTTGCCCTACAAAGCAATATCCTTTGTCTCCTACCACTATAGTGGTTTATTTGTCTCTCCCAGGCCCTCTCTGAGTCCCAGCTGTGCCTGGCTAACTGTGTTTCTCTCGTATCCAGGAGTGCTCCCACCCCAGCCCATTGCTGCCCAGCTGTTGGAACGCTATATAACACCAACACACTCGAATCTTTCAAGACTGCAGATAAGAAGCTCCTTTTGGAACAAGCAGCAGATGAGGTTAGCAGGGGAAAGGTGTATGTGTCGTACCGTCTGTGGTCCCGGCAAGTGCAGTGTTTCTGATCGGGCACATGGGTCTGTTGCAGAAACCAGTATCTTACAGGTACTCAAAGATGTTTTGGACTTTGGTTTATTTCTCCAGAGAGCGCACTCCCAACTCTCTCCTTCTGTGTTGGTGGGAAGGTCAGGGAGAAGACATCCAGGCTCTCAACCGGGATAGACCAGAAATTCATGGCATGGCAGAGGTTAAGAAATCAGGTTTGCTGCTGATCTCCAGTTAGCATTTTGGAGCAGCCAGACCTCTGTCTGAGAGTTACATATCCGTGGCTGAATGCCTCTGGGTGCTCTGTTCCTTGTGCCTTGGAGAGGCTTGGCAGTGCCGTGCACCACGATGCTATAGGAGCGTATCATGTAGTCTCTCCCGTGTCTTCAGGGCTACATCTGATCTACTTCATCTGGCTTTCAAGGCCTTCCATGGCCTGGCCCTGCTGACCTCTTTGCCCCTCTGACCTGTCGCTCATGTCCTTGCCTTCTCTGACTGGCATAGCAAATCACGTGTATCTCCCTTCACCTGCTATCTGCTCTCTCCTCGGGACATGATGTTCTCTCTACCTGGAATGTCTTTGCTTTGCTTCTTCACATCTCAGTTAGTGAGAGGAATTAAAATTGGGTGGGAGGGAACTGTTTATCCCAATCCTCACTAACTCACTTAATCGAGAAGTCTTTATACTGTTCTTTAAAAAAACAAAAGTCTTATTTATGCTGGTACAGTGGTCAGGTCCTGAGACAGGCTTCCCTAGTATCCCAGGTGATGGATGCTGCTGTGACTCGGGTGAGGATGGTCATTTTTCTTGACCTGTGGTTTGATTGCTTGTGGGCTTTCTGCTTTGGCTGTGTACTTAAAAGGGAATCTTCAAAGGGTTGGGTCAGGTCTTAATCCGTTATGGAAAAAAGGTTGCTCCTGAGAGGAATCCCACCCCTTGTCTGGGGCTCAGATTTTCCCAGCAGTTCTCATCCACACCCTCTTGGTATATCAGAAAGTGGAGGCTTCTCTTCAGTGGTCCAGTGCTGCCAAGGTCATTATGTCAGTAGCAGGAACTATTTCTCTTTGCTTATTTCCTTCTTACATCCATCCTTGGGGAATGGTTCTTTTTTTTTTTTTTTTAAGAGCCAGAAGTTTTATTGACTATAAGCACAATATGAGTTCACAAAAAATGTTAAGCATTAAGATACATTAAGAAAAATAATGTGTCCATAAAAGAAAGTTTATAGTTCTAATGATTATTTACTGCCCAATCCAGACCAGGAGTAATGTGTTTAACTTAAAAGTAGACATCATTAGCCCAGAATTTAGCTAGAAGAAAGCAACGGCAGTGATTGGAATCTCAAAAGCTGTAAACACAAAAAATGAGTTGCAAAAATAATGAATGTTACACTTAAGGAAAAAAACAGAGTGGGAGTTGGGAGTTTATGATAGCTATGTTTAGTAAATAAAGGAAGGAATTGATCCATTTGCCATTGGACATTTCTAATAGCAATGAGTTAATAAAAAGTCTTTAGGCTCAACACAGGAAGAAGTTTGTAACAATTAGCCTGTTCCCGAAACTTTAATACATCTCCTCTTCACTAAAAGTATTTTAGCAGAGGCTGAATTTCAACTTTTCAAGAATATTACATAATATTGGACTATAGTTTCTGCTTTCTCATCTACAGTAGGAAGAATCTGAACTAGAAAATAATTTCCCAAGATTTCCTTCAGTAATATAATTTTGGTCCTATTGATGTTAGTGAAGGATTTCTTTATCTGTGATCTGAACACTATACTTTCCTACTTCATTCATTCACTCATTCATTCACAAACCTTACTTAAATGCTCGATATGCACCAGGTACCATGATAAGCACTGGGTATCATAAAAGAATAAGACATGGCTCTTGATCTTGTATGTTATAATATAATAATATTAAAAGAGCAGTGAGAGCTCAAAAGAAGGAGGGGTTTTCAATCAATCATTTCGTTGAAGACTTGATTAATGTAAAAAGGTTAGAAAGGCTTTTTAGGCTGGGCGCGGTGGCTCATGCCTGTCATCCTAGCAACTCTGGAAGGCTGAGGGAGAAGGATTGCTCAAGGTCAGGAGTTCGAAATCAGCCTGAGCAAGAGCGAGACCCTGTCTCTACTATAAATAGAAAGAAATTAATTGGCCAACTTAAAAAAAAAAAAATATATTATATAATAAATTAGCTGGGCATGGTGGCGTGTGCCTGCAGTCCCAGCTACTCGGGAGGCTGAGGCGGGAGGATCGCTTGAGCCCAGGAGTTTGAGGTTGCTGTGAGCTAGGCTGATGCCACGGCACTCACTCCAGCCTGGGAAAAAAAGTGAAACTCTGTCTCAAAAAAAAAAAAAAAAAGTGGGGAAAAAAAAGAAAGGCTTTTTAGAGGAGAAGGCATTTGCACCAGACTTTGAATTAATCAATGCATGTTACATGCTTTTTGAAACTTGATATAAACTTTTTATTTTTTTTTTACCACCAGTTAAGACTCAATCCTCCATGAGCCTTGACACTTAAATTTCTACTATTTTTTCCTCTCTCTGGTATCTTTCATCTCTCTCTCTCCCTAAACTGCTTTCCATGTTTATCTGTTTGCCTTTGACAAACCTACTAGATTCGCTTTTTTCCCCCTCTCCTTTCCTATCACTAGCTTCACTAGATCTAAAACAACTCTAGAGGTTTCAGCAGAGAAGTTAAGGTAATAGACTTTGAGGTCAAGCAGAGGTGAATTCAAATCCTTCCTCCATCTATTTACTTGCTGTGTGACTTTGAACATGTTAAACTCTCTAGGTTTCCCACCTGTAAAATGGGCACTATAATTAGCCCTTAGAAGCTATTTCTGTAAAAAGCTTACCATACACTCTGGTAGGCCGACATAGGCTGATCGCTCAAGGTCAGGAGTTCAAAACCAACCTGAGCAAGAGCAAGACCCTGTCTCTAGTAAAAATACAAAGAAATTATCTGGACAACTAAAAATATATATAGAAAAAATTAGCAGGGTATGGTGGTGCATGCCTGTAGTCCCAGCTATTCGGGAGGCTGAGGCAGGAGGATCTCCTGAGCCCAAGAGTTTGAGGTTGCTGTGAGTGAGGCTTACGTCACGGCACTCTAGCCTAGGCAACAGAGTGAGACTCTGTCTCAAAAAAAAAAAAAGCTTACCATAATGCCTAGCACATAGTAAGTACTCAGTGAATGTCATGCATACCTTCTCTGGCATGCACGCCTGGGTTCTTGAGGCAGACGCTTTGCTGGTTTCCCCATGCCCTAGATGTTGCTCCATTCCCCAGCTCCTAACCCAAGCCACTCCCATCCCATGTCCCATCATAAATGACCATCACAAATATCATGATATACTCCTCCTCCTCCTGTTCCCCCACTCCCTTATCAAGTCATTTAGGATGAAACTCTCTTCTCTATCAGATCAAATAAATTCCTTGGGTTTCACGTTTGATTATGACCTGGTCACTTTTTACTTCCCACCCTCTCCCTCAAAACCCATCTCCCAAGTCAGCTCTTCACTGTCCCTTCCCTGCACAACACTCATTCCAAATCCCAGAATTTTGCTCAAATTCCCCTTACCTAGGAGTTGGGTCCTCCTCCTTCCCACCCCAATTCTGCCTCACGAGATTCTCGCCACGTTTTTAAAGCCTGGTTTAAATACCATCTCCCTCTCTTGACTCTCATGGCATTAAACTCAGTAATACATAGTTCACTAGTTAAATCGCACTTGATGGTTTCCTATACATTAGTTTTATCTCCCCTGAGTTATATACTCCTGGAGAACAAGAATATTTTCTGTATCCCCAGAGAAGTCCTATGCCCATAGCATGCATAAATAAATACTTCTTGGCTGATCCGTTTGCATTTTGAGAACAACGAAATGAAAACAATTCCCATCCAATCCAATGCTTGACTGAAGAGTAGACTAACGGAGCAGTTGTCCAGGATAACATTCTACGATGGACATCCAATGATCAGTGGAGTATCAGAGACATTTGTGGAGATGTGACCAAAAGGAAATAACGAATTTATCAGAACTCTTCTAAGGACGAGTATTTTACATGATTGGAAGGAACGCTGATAAAACCCTGCCCAAAGGGCGTCTTCGTCCTCAAGACACGAAGAGGCTACATACACTTCCTTCCCAGGCCACCAAGTCCAGGGAAAAGCCAGGCTACCGCGGCTGAAGAAGCCAGAGCAGTCCCCTCTGTCTTCCCACATGTGCTCAGGGCTCGGCTTCTGCTCTCAAGAAATGTTGATGAATTATTTTCCAACTGTCAGTTCACGGGGATGTGACATTTTTAGCCTTCCCTCGTTATCCGTACGCCACCGTCTTTTATTAATCAACTCCAAAGACAGCATGATGTGAAGTCACCTCTTGCCTCTCCTTGAATCTATCCCCATGTGCAACTCACACAATGTGCCTGTCCCTACAATTCACTGAAAAGGGGTTCTCACGTGTTTTTTAGAGAGAAACTATTGTAGAGAGAGCAGAAGAGCTGTTGGCAAAGAATCCGGGTTGACGACATGGACTCAACTCTTGTTTACTTGCTGTGCCCTTGGACATTCTTAGTTTTCTCATCTGCCAAATGAGGTGTGTGTGAGCCCCAGAATGTTTGTGAAAGTCATTTGTGAACCCTAAAGCAACGCACACGCATTGATCAGTTTATGGGCAAAAATCAATGCGCATGAACACTCTCTGTAAAAAATCCTTATTGGAGTGACTGCTTTTGCTCTGAATTATCATTGGATAATTTCTCCTCAACAAAGTATATTTTATGTGATAATCACATTAGGTTGTTATAACCATTGTCTATTTTCAACTGTAAAACCTCTAAGAAATGATGATGGTATATTGACCAGTAGATAACACTTCTTCATTATCAGTAACATCAGAGAGTATATCTTTCACACATTTTTGCTTTATTCAACAATTTTTTGGTATGGGTGACCTTATTCTTTTAACATTAAGCAGAATTAATTAAAGACACTATTATTTAATGCTGCAACACGTTTTGCAGGTTTTTCATCTTTTGAAACCATTATCACTGACCAGCAGCCCTCTACTTGGGAACTTCGTAGAGACGGTGGCTGCTGCTCCACCCAGGCCTCTCTCTCTACTTTGGGCTGTGTCTACCGAAATCAGGCATCTGTTGGGTTGATTTCAGTGGTCTTGCCCAGGAGCACGAAGGTCACCAACAGCTGACGCTGACAGTTCTCAATACTTGGTGCTTCTGAACATCCTTCAGGAACCTAACCGAAGCCTGATGGAGTCCATTTTCATACATCTCTGAACCAACTGCGTGTCCAAGAATGTGGAACGCTCTAATTCAACACAGAATCGCCCCTTTCCACACCGGCGTCTCGCCTGCCTCCCCGGGAATGGTTCTTGTTGGTGCAACTGTTCTGCTTCGCTTAGTAACACAAAGTCTAGCAACTAATCTTAGCTACCAGAACATCTTGTGATCTGCAGCTGCTGACCAGCACCAGCTTTTGCTCCTAGTCTCAGTACTTGCTGAATATACATAAACTTGAAGTTTGTTCTTCTCTTTTCATATCTCAGGGCAAGATAATCCCAAACAAAGCTTAGGAAGTCCCCTATATATATTTCAAATCACTTTCTATAAGAGCCCCTCCCAGGCTCTGCCCTCCCACCTCCCTCAGTTGAGTCTGAGGAGAGTTGATCCCAGGAGTGTTACATACTTCTGTGCTAGCAAATCTTATGGAATGTTGAAGTTGTATGTTTATGCCTGTCTCTCTTTCTGGACTGTGAGTGTCCTGAGGGTAGGGACTGACTGTGTCTTTTATTTCTGTAACCCTGATGTGCCTGGTATATAGCAGATGGTAAGTAAATATTAGCTGAAGGAAACCGTGAAGGCATGAAGATGGCCTGGTTGCCTGTCTGTGCTGAGAACTGCTGAGAGGAGGCATCTGGGCTCTCTCACTTTGCTCAGACACTGGCAGGAGTGCAGCCAGTGGAGAGGCGGTATGGGGTAGGCAGAGTGAGATAATGACCCACTTCATTGCCTGGGATAAGTGGAGCTGAGCCCATAGGAAAGAAGAGCTTGGTGCTTTTCAGCTCCATGCTTTGCTTGAGAGTGAGAAGCTCAGCGCTGTCTGATAACCTGCCCTGACACTTTTCTTCTTCTGGCAGATATGGGAATCCATAAAATCAGGTGCTGCTCTTGAAAACCCTGTGCTCCTCAACAAGTTCCTCCTCTTGACATTTGCAGTAAGTAAATGGGCTCTCTGTTGCACTGAGATTAGAGAAATTCCCTGGGTCAGCCGTGTGTACCAATAGAACAGCCTGCTCTCTTCTCTCTGAAGCTTGTGTTGTTCAAGTTATAGCTATAAAGGAAATGCTTATTTGATTAGTGGCCAGATAGTGCTGGCACCTGTTATCAATGCAAAATTAATTCATCCCCATTGGTCATACTGGCAGTAGTTGCATAGTTTATAACAAGACCCACTTCTTGTTATTCAGGACATAACATCTGATTTGGGGAGAAGTGGTTTCATTGTTGCTACCATCTTTGTTAAACACAGTCCTGCAGAGCTCAGTGCCAGGGTCCATCCAGGTAAGGGAAAGGGCCTTCTGGATTAGAGATGGCACTAAATGGCTTGACCACACAATTGTTGTTTTTTGTTTGCTTTAAGGAAGAAAAATGTTTTCTGTAGGTGAGATCTAATTAAAATGAACATTAAAGGACATCCTTAAAGAGGAAAAGAAATCACATTAGGGTGACATTTGCTGCCTAGGGAAGAAAGGTTAAGGAGCTGGAGGGAAGAACCTGGCCTTGGCTTTGGTGAGGGATAAAGTAGGGAAAAGGTAAAGGTTGCTTGTGGAAATGCCAGCAATAAACACACACACACACACACATACACACACACACACATGTATATATATGCATATATACGTATATGTATATTTAATAAAACTAATTTATATACTTTATTATTATATTGACTGTGTTCCATAGATTCCTATTGTACATTTAGGTTGTTTCTAGTATTCACTATTATAAAAAATGCTGCAGTATGTTGAACAATATACAGTGTTGGCTATATTGATATTTTTCCTGTTCATTTTATTTCTTTAGAATAAGTTCTTTGGAGTGGGCATATTGATGTTGCTGTATATTAAGTGTGTTGCTTTATTATAGCATCATCAGCTTTGGGTATCAATCCTCTTCTCCACTTTTTTTTTTGTGCCAAATAGTGGGTCTTGCCTTTCTTCTCCCTTCCCACACCATTTCTTCTGAATGCTGCCTCTCTGATTTATTGCCCAAGACAAAGGTAGGGATGACAGGAATCAAACTAGGTCATGCCAATGGGTTGCCATCTAAAAGGAGCACATTTTCTAACAAGCTATAATGCTTTCTATGTAATAGTGAGGGAGAGAGAGAAATGTTTAAACTCTTTGTCAGATTACTAGTGCAATTTGGCAGTAATAATTTGTCTTTACATTTGAGTAAGTTTGTCGGTCCTCTAGTAGATAAATTTTAAGGATTGCTAGTTAAAGATTTCAAGTTACTTGAATATCAATGCATTTTCTGTACCAAGAATTCTCGTTAGTAGAACATGTTGACAATTTGCATTTCATGAGAAAAATAACGTTAGCTCTTATTTAAAGTTTTAAGATATTGCCTAAAGTCAGTATGTATGTTGGCCTTGCTGCCTTTTTCACTGAGCATTCTTTCACTTGGCTTTTAAAAAATTAAAAGTTTCTATCTCTTCAAATCCTCAGACACAAGGGCTTTATGTTTAATTTAATCAAGGTCCATTGTATCATGAAAAGAATCCTATGAAATTCAAGCCTTTGACTTTTGAAGATGACCTGATATAGCTTCTTAGAATTTGTGACATCCTTCACTTTGAATTGTTTAACCTTTTACTAAAGATCGCGTATGACAAATCTTTTAAGTACAAAGAAGAAAGAATACTCTCTGGAGGTGTTTTTGCTTTCCTTTCCACTGTTTTCGGGACTCAGAGGACTGGGCCCTTCATTAATTTCAATTTTGCAGGTTGTTCTGCCATCATGAGAAAGGAGTCTGTTCTTAGTTGATCAATTATTAGCAGAATTAGAGACTGCAGAAACTGTAATTACTAGACTTTCTCATTTGGACACATGTTTGTATATAAATTAGTGTTTAAAAAGTTGTCAAGTATGATTCCATTTATATGAAAAGTCTAGAATAAGCAAATCCATACAGATAGAAAATAGATTAGTGGTTGCCAGGGGATGGGGGAGGGAGAGTGGAGAGTTTCTGATAATAGGTAAGGGATTTCTTCTTGGGGTGATGAAAATATTCTGAAATTAGCAGTGATGGTGGTACAACTTTATCAGTATACTAAAAAAGTACCCCGCTAAATTGTACACTTTAACATGGTAAATTTTATGGCATGTGACTTATATCTTAATAAAAAAGTCATCTAACAACCATTCAATTTTCATTCTTAGCAAGATTCAAGAAGAAATATTAATTAGCCACATAAACTACATTAGTGTTAAGTGGTCACAGACCAGTGGGGAAGTTGCCAAAGACTTAATCACTCATGGATACTTCCATGAGTGATTAAGGACCCAAATACTGCAGGAATTCAGAGGCAAGAGCCATCAGCCTGAGTGGGGACAGTGTCAAGGACAGCCTCATGAATCTTTACCCCTGGGTCACTTCCTCTGGTGGGGGAGTGATCAGATACACCCATGAAGATGTAATGTATCCCCTTCTATTATCTATGTTCCTTATGACCCTTATCACTTAGCACCTCTCTGTAACTCTAATGGTTAATCATGCATTGACTTTATCTCTGCTCCATGCAGAAAATGAGCTGCGCAGTGGCTGGGACTGGGGTTTATTCATCTTATTATCTGAGTATCTTATGTTTTGCCTTGTACATAGCAAGTGCTTAATAACTGTTGACTTGAATTTCACTGAGAAGGCGTTTCTCAAAACAACATTATATTAGGCATGCATAGATATGTGAATATCACATCTTCCTTAATAACATGCTTACCTTATTTGATTGTGAAGAGGAGTGTATCTGTGTGCACAGGTGTGTGCATAGATGGTATCAATACATTGAGTATGTATGGTGAAGTGGAAAAAAGCTTAAGTTTTGGAAACAGAGTTCTGACTTCCTCTCTGCCACTTACCATCTTTTGTTATTATTATTCTTCCTGTTCTTTAACCCTTTTCCTAAGTTTCAGTTTTCTGTCAATAAAGTGGGATAATAATTATTATTATTATACCTCCCAGAGTAGTTTTGGTTATTAAACAATGGTGATGATAATGTCAGTTACTTATTGCACATTTTCTGTTAGCAAGTAATAATAAAGGATATTATGTTTATTTTCTATTATTAGTGTACGGTATGTGAAAGTATTTGGGGATCAAGACAAAAGTCCTGTTTTCTACCATGAGTTCTATTGGAGATGAGAATATTTGACAAGCTGCACGTATTTTGTGTTCAACAACTTTTCTTTTAATTGGCTTTGAGAAGTTATGTTAATAGATACATTTCAGCTTAATTATTGGTGCTATTCTAATATCCTATTTTATATTATTTATTCTAGGATCTAAAGAAGTACCACTTCTACTATTGGTTTTGCTACCCTGCCCTCTGTCTTCCAGAGAGTATACCTCTCATACAAGGGCCAGTTGGTTTGGATCAAAGGTTTTCACCAAAACAGGTATCAACAAATAAAACAAAGTGCAGGTAAAATTGGGTTGAATGTGGAAGAGTAGTTGTCTATTATCTAGTTCATTCCAAAGACAAATAGGTACTCCTCTGGATGAATAGGTGGTAACTGTGGAATCCTCCAAAGTTGGTACTAGAAGCAGACTGACTTACAAAATATTTATAAAGTCATTTTGAAGAAGTAGAAAACAATAATTTTCCTGGTTTTCAGTGGTATTTGATGAAATGCTAAGCCAGTAGGGAAGGATTAGTAGGAACATTTCGAAAGACTGAAAGAATTTATCAAAACACAGTCTTAACTTTCAGTGTGGGGAAACATAAGGCAATACACTTTGGGAAGAGTCTTTGAAATGAAACAGAAGATGTTCTCCTACCCTCATACCAAGTTGCAGAACTTCTCTATCAGGAATGGTACATGCAGAGCTAGTCTTGCCTTTTAAGGAAGATAATAAGGTCATTAGAGATGGTTCCCCAAAGAGCAATTAAAATAATCAGACTGGTAGAACAGAGATCTCAAACTAGAGAAATCTGATTGTTGTTAAGGTAAAGATTGGGTATCAGGATGATTTGAATTCCTGAAGCACATTCATCACTAAAACCCTCAATACTGAAGCCAGGGAGCAGCCATTATTGATTTCAAAGAAAAAAAAAAGTTTAGTACAATTCCAAGGTTGTGATTTTGTGGAACTAATTTCCCAAGGAAAAAAAATCTAAATAGGAAAAAGGATTTTGGGTGTGGATTGATTGCAGGCAGGTATGGGGTTTCTTTTCTCAAGGACAAAAATATTCTAAAATTAGCCCAGTGATGGTTGCACAACCCTGTGAAAATACATTGAATGATATACTTTAAGTGGGTGAATTATATGGTATGTGTATTATATCTCAATAAAGCTCTTTAAGATTATGGAAAGGTTCAAAAAAAAAATTCATCAATGGTAGGTTTATGTGGGGTTGTCACAGGAGAGAAAGAATATTTGATTCCCTCTCTAAATCTCTGTGCTTGACAGCTTGCATGTCCCTTTGTGCTCCTGTCTAATGTGTACCAGCATGCACCTGGAAAGTGTTATGTAAAAGTTAAATGGTATTATTTGGGGACACTTTTATGTTCATTTGCTATAATAGAGTAATGGGAGTGATCAATCATTTCCAGTCTTACGGCTTTCAGGTACTTTTTACTTTAGTTTTTCGCTCAAGATACATGATTGTCTAGAGAATAACTTAATGTTTCCTGTTTTCAGATTCAAGCCCTTGAGCGTGCATATGATGATCTTTGTCAAACAGAAAGAGTCACAGCCCTTCCTTACTTCCTAATCAAGTATGATGAGAATGTGGTGCTGGTTTCCTTGCTTAAACATTACAGTGATTTCTTCCAAGATCAAAGGACAAAGGTTAGAAAAACTTTGAATATCATTTTATTATCTGGTTTAAAAAAAATCTGAAGTTCATGTTATGATAGAGCACTGCAGAATTCAAACTTTAGATTTCCTTACTCCTCCAAAAGATGTTTTAGAATGTATCTTTATTTCTACCCTTTTCCACCTCTGCAGTTCCACAATCAGCTCCTCCAGATTTTTCTAGCTCTGTTACAGCTCAGAGTAAATTTGGATTCTTCAATTCCTATTAATGCTAAAGTTATTCAGTTTTCCATCCTCATACATTTTATTTGTAAAACATCTGTGTTGTAGTTTCCATTCCTGCAGCTATCCTGTAGTTCAGGTCTCCATTTTCTCAGTCCTGGACAGTTAGAATCTTCTTACCTCTGTCTTGCACAACACTACTATAGAAGAATCTTCCTCCAACTACTCACATTTCCTGTATCATTCATTGAGCCTAATGATGTCTGTATTCTGGCCCCAAGCTACCTTTTCTGCTTCATCTCCCACTATTTTGCTTATAAACCATTGCTCCAGCTAAGTTGGTCTGTTTTTCACCAGATTCCCACCTCCCATCAAATATACCTAGAACTTTTTAATATCTTTTTTTCCTCTCATTTTGTATCATTTTTCTAAAATATTCTACCTGTGAAAACCCTAAGAAACTCTCTTTCCTTATTGAAATTCTACCTCCACTGAAGCACTTTCATGGGTGTGGCCATATGTGGTCTGTCCATGTCTGAACTCACTACTCTTATTTCCTGATCCTCATTTGCAGGTCCAGTGCCTTGTACAAATTCGTTTTCGTAGCATATTAGACTGTGAGCTCCTAAAGGGCAGGGCCCATGTCTTATGGATTTGTGTCTGCATAGTGTTTAGTACTTGTCTGAGGCCCTCAATAAAATCGTTTTGAATGAATGAAAGAGTATTGTAAGTGTCTTTTAGAACTGATCAGATATATAGTAAGTTGTTAAGACAACTTACAGGAGATTGTGAATCAAAAATAAAACATTGATGAGTATTATGAAGTTGTGAAATCAAGTGGAATAATTTCAGTAGCCATGTAAATATATCACAGCTGAAAAAAGAGAGGCTTCTAACTGATGATCTGATTATTCCTGGACTTAGAATGTCCTTTTTAAGCACATTTTTTAATCAACTACATTAGCATTTCATTTTTCAGAGGAAGCCCTTTTTAAATTGAGGACTGAGGATTGAATTTTTATTATTAAAATTCTTTTTTCTCCAGGTGATTTCATAGAACTATAGCAAAATTAGTATAGCAATAAGACCACCAGTCTAGTGTGAGGTCCTGTTGTGATAGCAGCTGGATTAACCAGCCTATGTTTGAAAGCAACTGTAGGTCAGGTTGTGTGTAGTAAATAAGTGGTCCTCCCTCAAACTGTAGCTCTTCTAAATTAATAACAATTCATAGAACGCTTTATAATTTAAAAGGGGCTTTCGCATGCTTGATCTTTTTATAATAACTCTGTGAAATAGGTTTTTATGAGTATCTACATTTTCTATTTGAAGAAAATGAGACTCAAAGTCACAAGGCCAGGTTGTCTGATTCCAGAGCCCATGCCCTTTCTAGCATTCTCTTTCACCTTGTTTATTTGAGTAGAGTCAGTCTCTGCTTGACCTTTGGAACCAGTTAGATCTGGATTTGACAGTCAGCATTGCCGCTTGGTAGCTCTGTGACCTTGGGGAAACTGCATAACCTTTGTTCACTATAATTTATCTGTTAAATGGTGGTAATACTACCTCCTTGCAAGGTTTTGTGAGGATTAAACTAACGTGAATAAAATGCTCAGCACATAGCAGGGCAATACGTATCCACTTCCTTTCTTCCTCAACAGCAGCGTATTTTGAAAGACTGAACAAATCTCCATGGTCTCCTCTGAAGTGCTCTGGGGGACTCACCATTGCCCCATCCCTGAGACCGGCTGCCTGCCACGCTCAGGCACATTGTTCTTCACTTGGTCAGCACCCTGTCTCAGGAATGCCTAGAATTACTCAGCACATGTGTTGAGCACTCCCTATTGGGCCAGAAATTGTGAGATACAATTATACCTGTTCTCACAGAACCTAAGGTCTAGGGGAGCTGAGACATTGACTTGTGGAAAGTTAACTAGAAATTCAGGTAACAGAAGAAAAGGGCCAAAAAAGTGATATACATGATATAAATGATACTTTGGTTGTTTGTCTATGCTCTATCTTATTCTAGAAAGAATCACCAAAAGCTGTGCAGTTCATGGCCTCCAGGATGGCCTCCCCCACCTGTGATCTGGAATGTTCCCATCACTTCCACACTCCTGCACAAATGCATTTTCTAACATACAAATTTGATTATGTCACTCTTCTATTTAAAAACCTTCTAGGGCTCCCGTTGATTTCAGGATAAAGTTCAAACTATTTAGCTTGGCATTCAAGGCCTCTTCAAATTAGACTCCTGCCCATCATTCCAGCCTCATCTGATGTTCCCCAAGAGGTATTCTTTGCTCTGGCTATACCTGTGCCCTCCAAATGCTTCATCTTTCCCCTTAATCTCTCTGCCTGCAGACATACCTTTCTCTGTGTCTCCCTTTTGTCACCTGGCGAGTGCCTCACTTACGTTTCTCATTCATCACCTGGGCAGCACTGACTGATTCCTTGCACTGTTTCCTTTCCCTCTTCTGTGTTCTGGTAGCAACCTCCCTTCTAGCAGCAACTGAGCTCCAAAGTGATTGTTGGTTTGCTTATCTGCATGCCCCATGTCCCCGTGAGCCTGCAAGCAACTTTAGCATAGAAACCTCGTTTTACCCCACTCTGCATCCTCAACTTTGAGTGTAACACCAGACATGAAGAGTGTGTGAGAGTGTGTGAGAGGACATGATGTGAGAGGACATGATGTGAGAGTGTGTGAGAGGACATGATGTGAGAGTGTGTGAGAGGACATGATGTGAGAGTGTGTGAGAGGACATGATGTGACAGTGTTGAGAGGAGGGTCAGATGAGTGTGGACTGGTATAATCAAAGGTGGCTTTGAGGGGGAAGTAGAGTTTGGGCAGAACCCTAAAGAAATGATTTCTAGAACTCACTTGAAGTCATCCATGCTTTTATTGCATTAACTTAATTCACTCTCTGTATCATAACTCCAGTTTCCCTTTAGTGTTTTTTGAGTTATGATATCTCCTTGGAGGTTTTTACCCTCTTCTTCCAAAAATAGGAATTCTTTTCAGTATGAGCTCCTGTGGTTGTGTTCTAGCTTTTTGTTTTGCTCTATTTTCTGCCTCATCCTTTTACCAACAGTTTGATCTCTAAGGAATCACTGCTCCATGAGCCTTGTGTCCTCATGTGTAAGACAGAGAAATGTTGGAATCCCTCCATGTTTCCCTCTTTTCAGCCCATTTGCTCTTCTGAGTGATCTCACTGTGTCCATGACTACTGTAACTGCTTGCTACAAGGGACTCAATTTCCCCCCACTAGCCTGAACCTCTCCCTTAACCCCAGACCACTTTATCCAGCCTGTGCGTGCCTTCTCCAGCACTTCAAATTCAGCATGTCCGAAATGAACTCATAATCTTTGCCCCATGTCTGGTCCTCTTCTGCCGTCACTGTCTCGGAATAACACTCTCTCTATCCAGTCATGTGAACCAGAAATCTGGGCATCCTGCAGGCCCCTCTCTGTCCCCTACCCACCCATATCCTGTGGATTTCACGTCTTAAACTTCTCCCGATCTGCACCTTTGCATTTCTCCTGCCACCACTCCAGTCTCAGCTACTGTTGTCTTTCTTCTGGTTACTGCAGCAGCTTCCTAACAGGTCTCCTTGTGTCTGCTCTGGCCTCTCTCCAATCCTTTCCCACATCATGCCCATGTTTTTCTTTGGAAAAGCAGATCTGATCATGTTGCTCACAGAACGAAACATCTGAATGTCTTCTTCCCTGTGCTCTAAGAATCGGAATTGAATTCTTTAATATGGCATACAAGAGTCTATGTGGCCTGGCCTCTGTTTGGATCCAGCCCCAAGTCATTCTGTGTTCCCTGCTACAGGGCTTTTGTATATACCTTTGCCTGGAACAACACCCTTCTCTTTCCTTTCTCCACTTCTGCCCTCCACCCACACCTCTCGTTTGCTCTGTTACGTGCTTATTCTTCTTTCAAATTTAAATTAAATCATTATTTTCTCAAGGAAACTTTCCCTGACTTCTGTAAGAAGGTTTCTTCCTTCTGCTATGAGCTCGCATAGCACTGTATATCTCTTTTTTGTAGTAGTTTACACAATTGTAATTTTGTATTTTCTTGGGTGATATTTGATTAATATCTTCTTTCTCTAATTTTAATGTAAGCTCTACCAGGGCAGGTATCCTATCTTTGATTTCCCACCACTCTATCTGCATCCCATAGCATCATGCCTTGTGTGTAAAATACAGTGAAAGAATGAATCCAGCCTGTAATCCTAGCACTCTGGGAGGCTGAGGGTGGGTGGATTGCTCGAAGTTAGGAGTTTGAAACCAGCCTGAGCAAGAGCAAGACCCTGTCTCTACTATAAATAGAAAGAAATTAATCGGCCAATTAATTGGCCAACTAATATATATAGAAAAAATTGTCCGGGCATGGTAGCACATGCCTGTAGTCCCCCCTCCCCCCAAAAAAGAATGAATCCATGCATGAATGAGTTGTGAGGACTGGAGCTTGCACATGGCAAGCACCTTCTCAGTTCCTGGCACACAGTAGGCCTTCAGTGAGTAATAGGTAGCTCTAGTACGGCTCGTTCTGAGTGTTCTCTTTAATGTGAACATTCTCTTTTCTGGTTAAGGCCATGTGGTTTACAAAGGCTTTCCAAAATTGTCCATACACCTAATGGTTATATCTAGTGAGTCATAAACATGGTTAGTGGTCTGACGGGACTGAACACGGGTGAGGTATGTCATCTGCAGTGGGTAATTTAGAAGAGTGGTTCTTAATTTGGGGTGGGATAGTATAAGTGCATAAGCTCTTCGAAGATTTGGTGAAAGCAACAGATCCTCACCCC